GGGAACTGTGGTGCCCCCATAGGAGGACTGGAGGGGCACATATGTGTCTTGGAAGTTGCATTTTGCCTGCCCACTAAAGCAGTGGTTACCAAATACATTGCAAATATCACCCACATCACCTCTAGCCATACAACTATAAGACATGCTGGCTACAGATGACAGAGTTTGTAATCCAAAGTCCTGGGACTTGGATTTGTCCTCAGACTTGGGACAGCTGCTATGGAATATACCAGAGATACACATGCAGAGAGAGTGTGTGTGTGATATTTCCTTTTTGAAATACAATGCCAAAAATCCACCAGCCAATTGCCCCATGATTCTGGAAATTAGATTCCAAAAGAAGTACGGTAACTTTTGCCAACTCTGTAAAGACTGGCTAAAAATACAAATTTTCAATTTTTATGGAAATAACCTGGCATTTATTCAAGTAAACCTGAGTTAAGCAGGGGTAAATCTACTCATCTCTCTTCACCACTCACGATGTGTCAGCAGGTCTTAAACCCTGCTCTGATTCCCTCTAGCAGAAGTCCTTCTCCAAACTCCGCTACTTAAAATACTTTGCCAGGAAATTAAACCTAGCCTCAGATCTCTGAAAAAATCTCCTTTAGTACAAGGTAGCAGCTCTTTAAAGCAGCAACACCTTGATCTTACAACCCTGAAGTCTAACTGTATCTGTTCGCAGTTGAATCTTTGTTAATTAGAACCAACAAGTAAATGAAGGTTCAAGACACAAGGACAATCACAGGAAAGTCAGATGAACAAAAAGGTGTGAACAGAAGGACAGGAACAAATGTCCAGTTGGCGAACTCTCTTCCAGGTTCCGCGACATCTGGGGTTCCCCACTGCCTGCCAATGCAGCAATTGGTTCCTGGAGGAGAAAACAGAAGAGAACTTTTCCATGACACTATTTATTTCCTTCTACAAAGGTAATCTTAAAGCATGCACCACTTTCTCACTAATGGGGCAGCCAGAAATTCATTAGATGTTTTGTGCATAGAACCAACAGATTCAGATGGTCACATGAGCAGAAGGTACAAAAGACTTCACTCATAATCTATCTACTTCAGTGTCAGCCATCACTCTGTATGGATATTGACAAGGAAACTCAACAGAGTCATTGGAAGGACCACAATCATTTCAAAATAGATACTGCACCTAGAATTTCAACTGATGAAAAACCAAGTAAGGTAAAGGTTCCCCTTGACATTTAGTCCAGTCGTGTCCGGCTCTAGGGCACAGTGCTCATCTGCGTTTCCTAGCTGTAGAGCTAGCTTTTGTCCGAAGACAGTTTCCATGGTCACATGGCCAATGCGACTGGACACGGAACGCTGTTACCTTCCCACCAAAGTGGTACCTGTTTATCTACACACATTTTTACATGCTTTCGAATTGCTAGGTTGGCAGGAGATGGGACAAGCAACAGGAGCTCACTCCGTCATGTGGATTCAATCTTACGACTGCTGGTCTTCTGACCTGGCAGCACAGAGGCTTCTGCAGTTTAAAACCAAGCACCTTCTGCATTTACAGTGGTGCCTTGCTTAACGAGCGCACCGTTTAACGACGAAGCCGCATAGCAATGTCGCTTTTGCTTACCGATCCTCGCATTGCGATTTTTTAAAAAACAGCTGATCGGCCGTTCCAAAATGGCCACCGGGTGCCCAAAATGGCCGCCGCAAGTGTTTTTGCACCCTGCCCTCGCTTACCGAGGGCGCAAAAATGGCGGCACTTTGGAGGAACTTCGCTGAACGTGAGTTTGGGCCCCATAGGAACGCATTAAACCAAGTTTAATGCGTTCCTATGGGTTTTTTCGATCCGTTTAGCGATGTTTCTGTATAGCGGCGATTAATCCGGAACAGATTACTGTTGCTATGCGGGGCACCACTGTATATGTGTTTTGGTTTTCTAACCTGGAAGTTGCAAATCATGAATTAACTAAGTGGTGATGTCTGTTGTTGTTTCAAATGATTTCTTGGTAGCTTCCAGATGTGGGATTCAGCAGGTTCGCACCTATTCTATAGAACCACTTCCTAAATGTACTATTGGTTCTTAGAACCGTTCGCTGGCCTGAGATGAATGAAGGAGGAGGGGCCAGGTGACCAGTTACGAGCGGGGGGAGGGGGGCGCAATTAGCTGCCTCCCTTCCTGCGCCACACTGAGCCGTCTGAGGTGGGGTGTGGGTGAGAGAGATAAAGCCCTGGAAAGAGCAGAGGC